GTGCCCCTGCGAACATCGAACATCGCCGGTTTCTCAGAAAGCAAACAAGTACACAATGCCAAAGGCCACAATTGGTTCCCTTCAAAAAACCTGACCTTCGAAACCATACTCTGATTGGCCACTAGAATCCCTCAGATTTGCATGTCCGGCACCTCATGATTGGTCCAAAAGCAACCAGTCATAACCCACTTTTTACAACCAATCATAACCCACCTTTTACAACCAATCACGGCCCACCAGCATGTATATAACCACGATGGCTGGCCCACAATCAGAAGAGGACACAGACAACCAGGAAGACCACACAGAGGACCCTGAAGACCCCGAAGAGTTGTGACACCGTGGCGTCTCCGGACAACCCTGAAGAGTTGTGACACCAGATGACCCTAAAGAGCTGTGACACCGCATCGTCTCCGGACGACCCTGAGGGGCTGTGGCTCCGGGTGGCTCCGTGCTGCCCACAATAAACGGGCGGCCGTGGCTCTGGGTGGCTCCGTGTGGTAACATTGCACTGCTCGCCCTGACTCTCACTCCTTCCCTCAGGAAACCTGTTCGCCTGTCCCCCGCCGGGACAAATATAATTTATCAACAGATACAGTAATTGAGGAGGCCAGCCCTGAGGTCAGCCTAGGCATTTTCTGCGGTGTGGCTACGCAGCGCCCTCCGAGGAGACTGCTCAGTTGGGGCCGCGCCTTGCCTCCTGCTTGGTTCCAACAGAACGAGGTCCCTCTGGGGAGAGCTTGGGTGGGCTCTTTGTCGGTCTGCCTTACCTAACAGCGGGCAGTTCCCACGGGCGCCAGCGTTTCCTTCCCCTTTTCTTACGGTCGGTGGAGAACTGGCCACAGTTTCCGTCTTCTGAGCCCCAAGCACCCTATAATTACCTCTACGGATTACAACCACCTTTCATCCAAGACCCTGAAGCACCTAAGAATCATCTACCGGGTCATCGGAAAAGGCAACATGTGTTTTCCTGTATTTTTCCAGGGAAAACTCATGACTTTTCTGATGACCCGGTATTTGCTTTCTAGGCAGCGAGGCGGGTAAAAAGCACTTTTCTTTTTCGCCAGTATGCACCCCGGCTTCCACAGTTACCTGAGGGGTACCCCCCACCCCGCAGCCCCGAGGGCCACGGGAGTGAAGGCCCCAACGCACCTGGTGGCCCCGCGGGAGCAGCAGCGCCACGGCCACGGCCACGGCCACGGCAGGGCAGGAGCGTCCTCTGCGGAGAGGAGGCCCCGCGCGGCCCAGCGCGCTTCCCGCAGACGCGGCTCCCGGGGCCCCTCCGCGGGGCCTTCCGCCCGGTTCCTTCCGTGTCGGAGCTGCCCATGGATGGTGGTTCTGCTCGAAACGACCGTGTGTCTGTGTACCGGCCTTGGGCGCGCTCACGGGAGCAGGGAGAGGGGTGAGGGGGCACCTCGGGCCGGGCCGGCGGGGGACGCGCCGCGCCGTCGGCCACACGGGCGCCCTGCTGGCCCTGCAGCCCCGGCGTCACCCAAGTACTTGACGCTTTGGAAACGCCGCGGGCGGTCCAGTCCCCC